GCTGAGCTGTCAAAGGGAATTATGTTAAAATATCCCATGAAAACAGCTTGTTTGCCAGCTTCCCTATTGTTTGCTTGTGGTATTCTGAGGCTGTTTGTTGTTGTTGTTTGATCTTTTATATATATATGAGTTTAACATTATTTATCTTCCTCACAAATTGTTCATATAATAATTGGTAGGAGCCTCCTTAGTGCTAAGATTTTTTTGTCATAAAGTTTATGTTGTCTGATAGATAATGACATTTCTTATGATCACGTTTTCATTCATTTCTGTCATCTTATTTCTTTTTTGCTTTTAAACTTTTTATCATATATTTTCTTTTTATATGTTAATTATATGTTTGGTGAGGGGTGTTTTTGCTTTTGTTTTTTTTCTGCTAGTCATATATTCTGTTTAAATTCTTTTGATGCTGATGTTTCTATTTTCAGAATGAATTCTTGAGTTATTTGAGAATTTAAGTGAATGTCTCCAGTTCCTCCTTTCCCAAATTGAGGATCTTTGATAGTTCTAACCAGAATCATTCCCCTCATCTTCCATTTATACTCACAGGTAGTTAGGTTTCACCTTGTTTTTATACCTCTATAATGTAATAGTTATTACTTTACTCAAAGCTTTTTCTTTCTTTTTTTTTTTCCTCATATTTAAGTTTGTCTTTACTGGGTTATTTTCTTAACATTGCTTCATTCCTCCATAAATCTCACTCCTTTTTTTCTGATTCATTTTTCTGTTTCCCAAGGAATGTAACTTAGTAGTTGTTTCAGAGGGTCTGTGAATAATATACCTCTCAATATTAAATGGAAAATGTCTTTCATTTATCCTCATTCTTGAGTGATATTTTATCTGGGAATTTAATTCTAAATCGAAAATTACCTTCCCTTCTCATTACCTATGTCCTAGAGAAGGTGCAATCAGAGTGGTGCTTGTAGGCAAAAATCATGAAGCTTCATCTCACATACTTTCAGTATGTTGTTGTAGTTCTATGTACCATCAGATCACCTACGATGCTTAGCGACCCTGTATACATTAGCTCTGAACCCTGCCCTATTCTGAGCCAGTCTCACTGACTCTGTTATACCCAACCCCATTGCCCCAGTGACTGTGTCACTCCATCTTATCCAGGATCTTTCTCTCCTATGCTGTCCCTCCACCCTTCCAAGCATGATGTTCTTCTCCAGGGACTGGTCCCTCTTGACCGTATGCACAAAGTATGAGTCTCCAAGGAAAAACTTGGTTTCACCCTTTCTAAGACATACCTGTTTGTTCTCCTGGCAGTCCATGGTATGTTCAATACTCTTCTCTAGCACCATAACTCAAAAGCATTGATTCTTCTGTCATCTTTGGTCGTTGTCCAGCTCTCTGAGATTAATATTGCTACTCCTGTTTTTTTCTGGTTGCCTTCTGCTTAGTATATCCCCCCTCCTTTCATTTTTAGTCTTTATTTTGCTTTACTTTTCAGGTGTGTCTCTTGTAGACAGCATATTGATGAGTTTTGTCTTTTTAATCCAATCTTCTACTCTTTTTCTCTTCAATGATGCATTCAAACCATTCACATTCAATGTAATTATTGAGAGGCAAGGTTTTATTGGTATCATTTTATTGAGTTATCTTTGGTGTTGTTGCTGGTTACTTTGGTCCATCCTGCTTTCTGTAGAATTTCTGTAAGAATGATTTATCTCAGTATTTCCTGCAATGCTGGTCTTGTTTTTACAAACTCCTTTAGATTCTGCTCTTCTAAGAATACCTTGATCTCTCCTTCCTATTTGATGGACAGTTTTGCTAGGAACAATATTCTTGCTTGACAGTTGTATTCTTTGAGTGTTTGATATATGTCATTCCATTGACTTCTTGCTCGTATGGTTTCTGCTGAGAAATCGGCACTTAATCTTATTTGCTCTTGCTTATTGGTTATTCTTTGTTTCTCCGTAGCTGTTCAGAATTTTCTCCTTATCTTAGGTTCTGGCAAATTTAGCTATAATATGCCTTGGGATTTTTCTTTTGTTGTCTATTCTATATGGTGTTCACTCAGCTTCTTGAATATATATTATCTAATTCTTCATTATGCCTGGAAAGTTTTCTTCTAGTAATATTCCCACAACTTTCTTGGTGCCTTTAACTTGCTTTTTCCTGTTTGAGGATTCCAATTATGTGCATGTTATTCCTCTTGATGGTGTACCACATTATTCTCAAGCTTTCTTCTTTTCTTTCTTTTTTTTTCTAGCAGATCAATGGTGAGGATTCTGTTTCACTGGTTCTGTGTTCCATTTTTTGATGTCCCTCCAACATGTTGACAGCATCTGAAACATTGGTCCTCATATTCTGGATTGTGGTTTTTTGCTTGTCCTGAGCCTCTAGTGCCTCGTTTGTTTTATCTGCATTGTCTTGGATTGTTTCTTTTTAAGTTCTTCTTGGTTTTTGTTTTCAGAATACTTTAATTCTTTGAGTTTGTCTTTCACCCATAGAAAAGATTGTCTTTTTTTCCCCCTTCAATTCTTTGTCAGAAAGTTCCATCAGACTTGCTGGCTTCAGGAAATTAATTGATACTGGGTCACTTTTTGGGGGTTACATCTTGTTTTGTGTTTGTGTTGGGTATGAGGTAGTCTGCTTCTTCAGTGTCATTGCTGTGGTAGAGTTTTTCATGCCTGAGGTCTTAGCAGGCTCTTCAACTGATAACCTTGGCTCAGGAAGTCACTGCCCCAGAGGAAGGTGGGGCAGCTACTCCACCTGAGTTTCTCTCTGATCCTTTTTTTTTTTCCTCTCTGATCCTTTGACTGAAGGGGAAACTTACTTCAGCTGGGGAAAGATATGGACTGTGAATTAGTAACCTTCTCTGTCAGGCAACTGCCACAGTTGGGGGGCGGGGCACCAAAGGGTCGGTAGCTCAAGAGAGCTCAAGTTCTGGGATAGGGGAGGAAATGGCTTCACCTGTGATATTCATGCTCTGGTGCAGTTCAGAGGGACAGCAGTGGATTATCCTCCAGACAGCAGGGCTGGGACTTCCAAGTGGTGGGACTAATCCATTGTCCAACTCTCTGATACATAGTAAGAAAATTAAAATACCATGGCCTGGATCAGGAGCACCTTAGTCTCTAGATGGACATTATTTCTCTTTAGTACTTTGGAGAGGTTCCTGACAGCAGATTTACTTAATGCAATTCATCTTTTGACTTCCTGACTGCTGGTGCCAAGAATTTTGTTTGTGGAGCTGACAGAGTGACTGCAGCAATAGCCTTGAGTGTGTCAGAGATGGTGAAGTTGGCAGAGGGTAGGACGGAGTTCAGGTCTATTGTTCATAGAATTACATGCGTTGTACTCAACTTGACAGCATCTAACAACAGCAACAACATTATCTAAAGATATTAGTCTATTGTCTTCTAGGTGATAGACCTATTCACTCATTGCCTTTAGAAAGAACTCATAAATGACTCTTTGTTAGGTTTCAAAGATGATAAATTGTGAGAAAGAAGATTACCCACTTTTCTCCCAAGGAGCTGCTGGTGGATTTGAATTGCCAGCTATGTGTGGCCATTGGTTTAGCAGTGCAACTCCCTACGGACCATGCTACCAGAGCACCCTTATAAACCTGCAATAAATAAAATAGTCAGTAAAAACATAGAAGTAGAGAAGCCAGGGGAAAAAAGACTTATTTATATAAAATTATTTATTATTAAATGACAAAACATTTTCAATAAATGGAAAAAACTTATTCAGTAAATGGTGTTGAAAACATGTATCCATCTGGAAAAACAAAACATGAGCTACTAACGTCACATGATACAAGCCATACATAAATTCCAATAATAGTCAAACCATAAAACTTCTAAAAGAAGGTATCAGAGAATACTTGTATTAGATTAATGCAAAATAGGACAAATTTGTTGAAACATCTTATGGTAAAAAAACACCATCATGAGCAAAATTAAAAAACAAGTAACAAACAGGATAACGATTGCTTTTAACAATATATTATTTTTATTATTATATTTAAAAAAACTTTTATTGGCCATGAGAGAAAATGGGCAAATAAATATGCAACTCACAAGAGAAGAAATAGAAATGTTATTTAACTGTGGACTCATTTAAAAAATATAAAGTAAAATGAAGTTATTTAATCATCAGTTAGATTAACAAAGGTTAAATTATTACCATGCCCTAGAACAATATTAGAATCCTTCAATATTAGAAGCTGAGGCTTGAAATTTCTGTTTGTTGTATTTCAACTTAGAAATGTCATGTGGGTTCTCTTTTGGTTTTAAAACTCTGAATCTTTGCACATTTCTTTTTAATACTTTGTCTTTCTATGCTGTCCTTTGAAATCTGCTCAGGAATTTTGCACATTATTTTTTCCATTCATTGTAACTAATCTACAATCTACTTGTTTCAGAGTCTCTTGTAATTTCCATTTTGGTCTTTTCTTTCATTCCTTCCTTTTTTTTAATGATCTCTTGCTTTCTTTATGAGACCATTTAAAAACATGAAAGGTATAAAAGGCATAAAAGGTATAAAAAAGAGCAAGATATTGTAGTTTTTATGTTCTAAAAATTTTTTAGTTAATTTGTATTATATAAGTATGTGAAAAGAAACATTTATACATACATATGCATAAACATTTTAAAATATAAACTTCTTGTCTGATAACTATTTGGAAAAAGCAGTGTTGAATTCCTAATTTCCCTCGTTTTCTGCCTGAGAAAATATCTCAGCTTCATGATTTGGAAGCTGATTTATGGTTGACACTGAGGTTGGACCCTACAATCATTTGGGCTATTGTTCCTATGACAATCATGTTATCTGTTTCTAATACAGTCCCAACTACAATCATCTTTAGTATATGCTCTAGGGTGCAGAAAAGTAAAATTTAACGTTCCAAGACAAATTTTGATAATTCACTGAAGGCTTAATTATCTTTTCTCCATTTTCATCTGTGCAAGTGGGGGCACTTGAATGTTGGATGAGGGGAAAACGTGGGAAAAGCACTGTCTTCACATCTGTTTCCCTTTTAGGGTCTCGGCGAGAAAGGTGTGGGTACCGCATAGTGCGACGGCAGAGAGACCCCGAGGAGCAGCTGAACTGCGTGGGCAAAGCTAAGCGGAACAGCGGGGCCCGCGTGAGGGAGCTGCTGCTGAGTGCCCTGAGCCCCGAGCAGCTGGTGCTTACCCTGCTGGAGGCCGAGCCACCCAGTGTGCTCATGAGCCGCCCCAATTCCCCCTTCACCGAGGCCACCATGATGTTGTCCTTGACCAAGCTGGCGGACAAGGAGTTAGTGCACATGATTGGCTGGGCCAAGAAAATCCCTGGTAGGTCTTTCTGGGTCTTCACTTCCTATTTATTTGTGAAAAGGTGTGCCCTTGACATTTCTGGAGCAAGAGTACAAAGACGTTTTTCACAAACTATGGCTAAATGTTGAGCAGTTTGACAGCTTCATTTTTATCTTTTAAAGAAAACGTTTAATTAAGTTTAAATAATTAAATTAATAAATAATAAACAATGAAAATTTAAGATAAAATACACTATTTCCTCTTAGTTTTACACATATAACTTCAGTACACATTACACATACACATGCAATACACATACAGAGTTTCAATACGCTTAAATTCGAGGAACCTGAAAGACCAGGTTCAAATTTAGATTTCTTAGACTAAATATGTGTTTGAGTTTTATTGCATATATATTTCTTTTATATTTAAACGTTTTTTTTGTAAGTATGCCTGTATGCACATGTATGTAAGCCTTTTAAGAATGTATCCTATATTATTCAGTGACTGTGTAGAAATAGCAATATTGGTTTCCAGCCATTACAAGTATTAATTTGGTTAATATAGGACAAAGCTCAGGACAAGGCTTGGTAGCTGTGAGCTTTTAATTTTTTTATTGAAAAAATGGCCTTTTTTGCCATTGAGAATCTACACAGAAAAACCACACACTTAATTCCAATACCTACATAAACATCTCTGTGACACTGATGACATTCTTTAATTGTGTACTAGTTCTCACCCTTCTTTTCAGAGTTCCTCCCTGTCCTTAGATTTTCTGGGTATTTGGAGGAAAAAAAACCCCAATGTTAACAGTGTTCACCCCCCCATTTATCAATTTGTAAATGTATATCCCCCTATTTTATTCTTGTGTCCTTAGATATGTAATGAGATTTTTTAAAAATTAGCACACAAGTCTCTCGTTTGCATGCATGACTTTCAAGGTTGAGTTTGATTTTGTTGCCCTCTGTCCTCATTTCTCATTTCCTCAGCTAGCATGTGCAGCAGCTCAGTAAAGTGTAAGCTCATTCATGTCTATGAAATGTTTTTGGTTATGTTGCTTGTAATTTAAATATGTAAGTTTATTTTTGCATTCCTATGTGAGCATTTTGAATCATTATCATCCTGGTAATTAAACCATGTATAAGAAAAAGATTCAAAAGAAAAGGTTCTTGGTGAGCTCTGCTGCTGGTGAGAAACTGCACTGCAATCCCAGAGGTGCACGGTTCAAATCCACCAGATGCTCTGCTGGAGAAGGAGGGACAATCTCTTCCTATACCACTTAGATCCGATTTGATGGTACATACACACAGAATAATAAAAATAATTAAAAAATAAAAAAGAAAAAGGTTCTTTCCTCTTGTAGTTTTCACACTTCATTCCTTTTTCTGCCATCTAAATTCCTTCAGCAAGTCCTTAATACCTTTGAAACTATAGAAGCATGTAGTTTTGAAGGTAAATGTAAAACCATTGGATATGATTCTTTTAATCCCAGTGTTTTTATTTACAACCCAGAAATGCTTAGCAACTTCACTATCTACTGCTGCCCTTAGAGATACCACAAGTGGATGGTTTGCACAAGTAGAAATTTACTCTTACAGTTTAGGTGACTAGAAGTTCAAACTCAGGGTACCCACTCTCTTTCTACCAGATGTCATTGATTGTTTCCTTCAGCATCTCTAGGCCTGATATTCATGGAGCTCCCCACCCACTCCTTCAATTCAGTTGACTCGCCTCCCATTTTATCTCCAGGAAAATAAAAGATATTATGGGCTACCCCCTGGAGAAACTCCTTTTACATTAGCTTAGGATTTTGATGAGATGCAGGGGTGATGCCTTCCACCCTTAATCCTTTTACACTATTCGGTTTATCAGATCATCGTGGATCATGACATAGCTTCCACATTGTATCATTTTACACACATATCTTGAGGGGAGAGTATCCACCCTCACCATGTTATCTTTGTCAAGTATTTCAATGAAAGCAGTTTTGCGTGCTCTCTTTTCTGTCTGGGGATCAGTGACTTGCTTTTGCCAGTAGTTGGCATCTCTCAGTGACATGGAGAAAACTCTCATTTGTGGGAGAAGTCTCCAGGACATTCACCATCTTGGTTCTCAGAGTGTTCCAGTGGGGTGAGTGTTCTGGTCACTCCACGTATAACCTCCCCTCTTTTCTCTTTTTGTCTAAGTGTTGAATTTTTAAAAAAATGCTTTTTTATTGGTTTTCATATAATAATCCCTTTACATTATATTTCATTCATATACATTGTATTTTATACAATCTTTCATTTATATTGTGTTTCATTTGATTTTTTAAAAAATTTGTTATGTTAAAAATTTATTATCTAGGGAGCTCTGGTGGCCTAGTGGCAAGACACTGCACTGCAATCCCAGAGGTACGTGGTTCAAATCCAACAGATGCTCTGCTGGAGAAGGAGGGGGCAATCTCCTCCTGTACCAGTCTGATCTGATTTGACGGTACACTTAAAAACAATACAATAAAAAAAAATATTATCTTATTCATTTAATTTGGTTTTAAAAAAAATTCTGGTTTGCATACAGTGGTTTTTATACATTGTGTTTCATATAAATGATGTTTTATGTAACCATTCACTTTTATTCAGTCATTCATGTACATTGTTTCCTTCATGTACTCTTGTTTTATATAGTCATTTCTATATATTATGTTTATATAATTAATTATTCTTGATCTATGGCTTTTGTCCTCCTGTCTCATCAAGTCCCCATAGTGCCTTCCCTTCACACACCTCCATCTACTGCTGATCTCTGCTGACCGGTTGATTCCCTCTCTCTTCTTCTGCACCCCTTTGCTTCTTCCCCTTTTGAGCAGTCACACACATCTTGTTCCTGCTTGCTAATTGCAATAGCCCTGTTGTCCTTATCTCGATTCTCTACAGGTTGATTCTCCCTAGTCCTGGTCCTTATAGTGTTCATCATCTGCACAGTCTATTTCAGTTCCCACCGCAACCTCTCAGTCACCCTCATACTTTTCCAGTAACGGTTATAAGACTGTAAGAGCAGTATTTGTCCTTTTTTTAAAAAAAAGTTTTAAATTTTATTATTTGTGTGTATGTACCATCAAATCTGATCTGACTGGTACAGGAGGAGATTGTCCCTCCTTCTCCAGTAGAGCATCTGGTGGATTCGAACCACACCTCTGGGATTGCAGTTCACCTTCTTGCCACTAGGCCACCAGAGCTCCCTACAATTCGTCCTTTTGTGACTGAGTAATTTCACTCAACACAATGCCCTCTAGACTCCCATGTTGTGTCATGTTTTATGAATACTTAATTGTTCTTTAGTGCTGCATGGTATTCCATTGTGTGAATATTCCATAGTGTATCTCTACATTCGTTTGTTGATGGGCATTTGGGTTGTTCATATTTTCTTGCTATTTTGAACTGGAGGTGGTAGAGTGCTGCTCCATCCCATTTGTTTTTCTGATATGGGATCTTATTGAATTTCTTCTGTTACTTCCCTAGCTTTTTCTAATAGTCTGTGAAGTCAGTTCCGACTTATGACAGTCTGCGTGTACCAGAAGGGAGTGCCATTCCATAGGACTTTCGGGGGCTGATTTTTCAGAAATGGATTATCAAGCCTTTTCCTTCCAAAGTGTCTCAGGGCAGACTCAAACTCCTCACCTTTTTAGTTAACATTCTAGTGTGTGAACCATATGTGTCTGAGGTTGTGAGTCAGAAGATTGCCCAACTTTCTCCACAGAGTCACTGGTGAATTTGAGCTTCCAGAGAAGTGTGCAAACTGTGGCTTAGCAGTGCAAGTCCCTACAGACTGTGCCACTAGAACTCCCTTTGATGGGCTTAGGTGATTTAAAACAAAAGCCAGGAAGTCTTGTAGTCTGGGTTTGTTGTCTACTTATCACTTACCTCCTGGGAGGCACAGACAGGTCCTTTGTGTAGCAATGGAAGAGCATGAGCGAAATTCAAGGGAAACAGCAGAATGAATAAACTGAAGTATCTCAGTAGGGCACCCAGCTGCACATGTGAGATTTGATATAATCATTGCAGGAATTCTCAGATGTAGATATTATTGCCCCATTTTCCGTATAAGAAATCCAAAGATTTTAAAAAAACTTAAGCAACCCATTTTTTTAAGTGACTTGCTTTTTCTCCTCAAGTGTGAAGCCTATTCAAACCGGAGCCGCTCCAAGACCATGTGTGTTTGCTCTTTTCTGGTCATACTGCTTCCTCCTTTTATCATGGTCCCTAAGAAGGCAGGGCCCATGATCTCTGCTTTACCTTTGAGAAGGTCTTCTCCCTTGAGATTACATAACTGACTTTCCAAGTCTTTGACAATTCAATGCTCTTTGGTTGGAAGTACTTGCTTCTGTGGTTGTTTGCTTTTTAGGTTAGAATAGCCTAGATTCTATCACTGGATGGGAGATTTTTAAGAACTGGGAATCTATTTGAACCCTGATTATAACATGGGGACTGGCGCTATCCCTTCCACTTCCACCATTAATCCCTGTCCCCAGTCATGGGCTGGATAATACAAGCAAGCTCTCTGACTATGGTCCAACATTTCCTTTCTCAGCAGTGCGGAGACAATATTAGCATATAGTTATCAAAGATTATATACATAAAACAGGGAGCTCTGGTGACCTAATGGTAAGAAGCTGCGTTGCTAACCCAAAGGCATGTGGTTTGAATCCACCAGCTGCTCTGCAGGGGAATGATGGGTAGTCTTCTGCTCTGAGAGTTTCTGCCTCAGGAAACTCATTGGATGGTCAGCTATGAGTAGGTTCCAACTTGACTTGATGGTACTCAACAAAGCAAAGATTGGTTCTGACTTTCCATTCCTCCCTAGCAGGTACCCATTATGAACCCTCATAATGGTTCTTTATAAATTTCTACTTAAACTATATTTGCCTCTAAAAGGGGATAAAGACTGGAAATACTGAGCTTCACAATGTATTTGTAACATAGGGCTTCTGTAGCGAAGTATAACAGAGTAAATGATTTTCACCAACAGAGACCTATTCCTTTAAGGCTCTGGAGACCAGAAGTCTGAATTCAGGGCAGTGGCAGGTCTGTGTTCTCTGTACAGCTCTGGGGAAAGAGCCTGTCTGGATTCAGCCTCTACTGGACATTTCTGCATCATCATCTCATGACCTTCCCCCTCTGTTTTTATGTGTCTTTTTAATAGGACATCTTTTAGATTGGTTTAGGATCTCCTCTACTCCAGTGTGACTTTATGTTAACTAATAGTTTCTTTCTTTCCTTGTTGTGTACCATCGGGTTAGAACCAATTCATAAATGACCCTTCAGGGGGTTTCTCAGAGGCAGTAAATCAAGGGAGAGGAAATTGCACATCTTTCTCCCATGGAACAATTAGGGGATTTGAACTCAGTGCCTTTGGATTGGCAGGGCATCTACTTACCACTAGATCACTGATGCTCTTAAAGACTCTAATTCCAAACAAGGTTACATTCAAAAGTACTGGGTTTGGTTAGGATTCAAACATAATTTTGGGAAGACAAGTTACTGTATGATGCATACCCTTTGCCCACAAATGGATTCTAACTGATAAGGAGAGTAGAACTGCCCCCAGGTTTTCCAAGGCGGTGGTCTTTACCAGAGCAGACAGTGTCACCTTCTCTTGAGAAGTAGCTGGCGAATTCAAACCACAACCTTCCAGTTAGCATCTAACAGAAACGATGACAAAGAACTCCCTCCATGCATAACTCAACTCATTGCTGTTGAATCCGAACCTCCAGCAGATTTTCAAAGGCTGTAAGTTGCTCTGGAGGAGATTTCTTATGTTTCTCCCACAAAGTTACTGATGTATTTGAACCTTTAGAAAAGTGTACTCTTTGGGTTAGAAGGTCAGCTCGCTATAGACTATGCACATACCTTAAGTAAAATTTTCTTGCCTTTACTCAGAACTCAGCCACATCTGAATACATGATTTCTTTGAGTTGTTCGTTTTCTTAGCATTTTAAAGCCTTTACTCTTTATTCATTGCCGTCAAGTCAGAATGAGCTCGCTGCTTACCCTTCACTGTGGCTATAAACAGCACAGGAGGAGACGGCTCATCTTTTCCCCTCGGAGCTGCTGGTGAATTCAAGCTGCGGCGAGGGTCAGTCTTTGGATTATCAGCTCAACTCTCTGTGGATTAGGCCACGAGAGCTCCCTTTAAAGAACTTACTGTTTCGGTTTTTACCAAAGCAGGATGCTGAGGAGGAGAGTGGGTTTGTCTCACAGCCTCTTGCGTTCCCCAGGCTTTGTGGAGCTCAGTCTGTACGACCAAGTGAGGCTCTTGGAGAGCTGCTGGATGGAGGTGTTAATGCTGGGGCTGATGTGGCGCTCAATCAACCATCCCGGCAAGCTCATCTTTGCTCCAGACCTCATTCTGGACAGGTGAGAAAATATTCAATGTGTTTCTTCTCCAGTATGTTTGAGCAAAGTGCTTACTGAGTGGGAACAGGATCCTAAGTGCTGCAATTAAAATCTCACACATATTGAAGGATGAGAATGTCATCCGCCCTTCACTGGGTCAAGAACTGTAGAGAGAGCTCAAGCATTGGGTGTCCTGTGACTCAGCTTTATCTTATAAGGCAGCAGAATCTGTGGATCAGGGCCGTAACAGCCGCCTGTGACCTTCAGGGTATGTGGTCCATATTAGACCTTTCTACATTTTTAGTTTAAACTTTCAAGATACCCTGATTGTCTTTCTGTAGAGACCAGTGAGCTGGACAGTTGGTAAATATGTCAAATTGGTTTGAATAGGTTTTCATTCACCCTAACAGAGGATACTAGTGATTAAGTAGTAGAGTTTTCATCTTCTGGGAAAATCAGTTCCTAATGTGGATAGTGCTGCTCATATATAGATAGCATCCATCTGCCTGTGGAGTCTTGCATGTTGCTATCTTATTAAAAGGCTTCAGAGAACTTCCAGGCTAAGTAGAACGGCTCTGTGGTCTACTTCTGCAGGCCACAGGTGGCTGTATGGTCCTGACCCATGGATAACACTATGAACTCTAATGGACCTATCCTACTGCGCTTGAGTCTACCCCAAGTGGACACAGTAATAGCTTACCCTGATGCATGTGCTATGCATTGTTTATTGCTTTAGGAAGGAAAGATACGGTTATTAAAACCAGTTGAATGTTAACAGAAATTGGTGGATGATGGTACTAATGAATAACTTGCTTACATTTAAAGATGGCATAGAAAAGAAGTCAAAGAAATTGACTTAAATGACCAAGTCAGTGAACTGTTGTTTTTGGAAGGAAAACTGGACTATCCAATAACTCTCAAAATTTTTTGAGAAAAAGCATGAATAACACTCTCTTGGTATAAATTTGATCAGCTTGAAAATTCCCCATGGAAATAGATTTTCCTCTTATGTTTAAAAACAAGTTTAATTCAGTTGTGTCTTGTGCATCTGAGAGCTGAATAATGAATAAAGAGAACTGGAGAAGAATTGATGCCTCTGAATTGTGCTGTTGGTGAAGAGTATTGAATATACATACCATGGACAGCCAAGAGAACTAGTCTGTCTTGAAGGAGGTACAACCACTGTTCTTTAGAGACAAGGATGGTCAAACTTTTTCTCACAAACTTTGGGCATACTTTCAGGAGGAGTTGGTCCTTGGAGAGAAGCAGCCCTTAGAGAGAGAGCTGGGAAAGGTAGAGAATCATTGGAAAAGAGAAAGACCCTCAATGCAGTGGATTCCACAGGGGACTTAAGCATGACAGTGAGCGGGAAGATGGTGCAGGACAGGGCCGACCTGTTCATAGCATATGACTATGAGGCCTAGTCGATAATGGCTCCTAACAATAACAAGGTGACATGTGTCCTCGATAGAACTAGGCCTGCCTTTTAGCAAAGTAATAGAAAAGAGAAAAAAATAATTGCTTTACAAATTGCTTCTGATAGGCTCATAATATTGTCTGTATTATAAATATTAGAAAGTTTTATGTTTTATGTGAATCTAATAGATTGGCTATGGAAAAGGATTTCTTGGGAATTTGAAATTTGTTCCTGTTGAGCAAGTAGCTTTTTATATGCCTGCTAGTGTTTGTTTTTTGCTGCAATCCTTACTTTTAAAAAACACATTAACTTTAAGAAGTCCAGGACTTCAATCCTAAGATTCACCAGTTTGTTAGTGTTTTTATTTTGCATATCAAGGTACTTTTATCAAATAGGCAATTATCCGGAGAAATTGCTTATTCATGGGGAGTTAAGTGTGTTAGAGATTGTAAGGGTAGCACAGGATAGGACAGGGTTCAGATCTGTTGTTCTTAGGACACCTAATGACAACAAATAACAACAAGGCTCACCTTGGAACTATACCCCTATTTCCTCCCGATATCCTTTCATTGTCTTGAACTCTGCTGTCCATTGACATCTGGTGATTACTAATCCTCCCTAGCCATGAGACATTGTTCTATATAGAGTAACTTCTTGAAAACCTGGTCTGAAGCAAAACTGTTTCAAATAAGTTCCTGGAGCATGCATGGAAATACCACTTTGTGACCAAGAGCTGATCTTCCCAAGTAAGAAGTACAGTAAACACGTTGCCGCAAACTTTTAAAATTGACCACCGTGCTTAGAAACACATTTGCCATCATTTGCGGTGATGTGTTAATGACTAAACAAGGAAATTGAACCAGGAAACTTTGCTCCACAGTGCATGTGTACCATCCCATAATAAGTGTTATCTCTTAATCCAGAAACTTCTGTAACAACATCCAATTTGAAGAGCCAGGTGCATGCATACATCCTCTCTATGGGGGCATTTTTTGGTTCCTCACCTTACCTTATGAATAAATATGAAACACCCTTCACCTCTTTATAAAACCCCAAATTATTTTATCCATGGGCTAGTGTTGCTTTGTTCCTCCATGCCTCCTTGTGCAAAATAGTTTTACTTTGCCAAGTGGTTTTCCTAGAAAACCTTTTTCTGTACTTTCATAGAATGGTTGTTTTTTTTTTTAACAAATTGAAGAATCATGACCCATAACGGAGTCAATCTTCTAATGAATCATTTCACCAAATAATAATCTTTACACCACTTGAAAAATGACTGTCTTTTGTGGGATTTCCCTATTAGAGTTCCATCAAGACTAGCATAATATATAAGCAGTAAATACAAACTAGCCCATTGAAGATTCTGAGATTGTAATTTCTGTTTCCCTTTAATACTTGTTGAGGGTTCTGTAGAGAGGAAACTGAAGCTACTGTGAATGAGAAAAAAATTGGTTATCTTGACTTATTCTCACCAGGTAGTTCTTTTAGTAACTACTTCTTGTTGATTGCCTTCAAGTGGAGCATGACTCATGTTGTTGTTGTTGTTGTTATGTGCTGTCGAGTCATTTGCGACTCATAGCGACCCCCTGTACAACAGCTCTAAACCCTGCTCTGTCCTGTGCCAATCTCACTGCCTCTGACACACCCATCCCGATTACCCCAGTCACTGAATCAGTTCACCTCATAGAGGGTCTTCCCCTCCTACGCTGTCCCTCCACTCTGCCCAGCATGATGTCCCTCTCTAAAGACCTGTCTCTCCTTACAACATGTCCAAAGTATGTCAGACGAAGCCCCAGAATCCTTGCCTCCAAGGAGCAGCCTGGTTTAATCCTCTCTACAATGAATCTGTTTTCTTGGCAGTCCATGGTACATTCAGTACTCTTCTCCAGCACCACAGCTCAAAGGCGTCAATTCTCCTTCTATCCTCCCTAGTCATTGTCCAACTCTCTGATGCATAACAAGTGATTACAAAAACCATGGCCTGTATCAGGCGCACCTTAGTCTCCAGAGAGACACCGTTGCTCTTGAGTACTTTAGAGAGGTCCCTAACAGCAGACTTTCCCATCGCAGTACATTTTTTTATTTCCTGGCTACTGGTGCCAAGAGTATTGACCGTGGAGCCGAGCAGACTGAAGCTGTGAACAATCTCAATCTCTTCACCATCCATCCTGATGCTACCGATTGGTCCATGGTGAGAATTTTTGTCTTCTTGACATTGAGCCTCAGTCCATATTGAAGGCTGCAGTCCTTGACCCTCTGCAGCAAGTGCATGAGGTCCTCCTCAGTTTCCGTGAGCAGGGTTGTGTCATCTGCATAACGCAGATTGTTGATAGATCATCCATCAGTCCTAACGCCACGCTTCTCATAGAGCCCAGCCTCTCGGATAATCTGCTCTGCATACAGGTTGAAAAGGTATGGAGACAGGACACATCCCTGGCGTACACCCTTCCCAATTTTGAACCATACAGTGTTGCCCTGCTCTGTTCTGACGACTGCCTCTTGGTCCAAGTATAGGTTTCGCATTAGCACGATTAAATGTTCTGGGATTCCCATTCTTCTCAGAGTCAGCCACAGTTTGTTATGATCCATGCAGTCAAATGCCTTTGTGTAATCAATGAAACACAGATAGACATTCTTCTGGTATTCTCTGCTTTCAGCTAAGATCCATCTAACATCAGCTACAATATCCCTAGTACCATGACCCCTTCTAAATCCAGCCTGGATTTCTGGCAATTCTCTGCTGATGTACTGTTCCAGTCGTTTTTGGATAATCTTCAGTAGAATCTTGCTTGCATGTGAAATCAATGATATTGTTCTGTAGTTACCACACTCAGTTGGGTCGCCCTTCTTTGGGGTGGGAACAAATATAGACCTCTTCCAGTCAGTTGGCCAAGTGGTTATTCTCCAGATTTCTTGGCACAACTTGGTGAGCACATCCAGGGCAGCATCTGTTAGCTGAAATATGTCAATTGGTATACCATCTATTCTGGGAGCCTTATTTTTTGCTATTTCCTTCAAAGCAGCTTGAACTTCTGCCGCCATCACCATAGGCTCCGGCTCAAATGCTATTTCATTAAATTCTTCTGTATCTGCCAATTCCTTTCGATACAATGACTCAGTATATTCCTTCCATCTTCTTTTGATACCTCCTTTAACATTCTGCCTAAAGCATCCTTGATTGTAGCAACTTGAGGTTTGAATTTGTTCTTCAGTTCCTTGAGCTTAAGAAATTCTGAACGAGAAAGGCCTGAAGCCTTTGTATAACGATCGTTCAAAGTTCATAGATTTTCTAGAGGCATGCAGTTTAGGAAGTGGATGTCACTCCTGCTTCCAAATTAGTAACTGCTGGAAATTCAAGGTCTACTATCAAATCTGTGCTTCTATTTGCTAAACAGTGTGCCAAGACATTTGAGGAAGCTCTGCTCTGGTGGCCTAGTGGTAAGGAGTTGCACTGCCATCCCACAAGTACATGATTCAAATCTACCAGCTGCTCCAAGGGAGAAAGACAATCTACTCCTGTGTGATTTACAGACTTTGAAAACCTGCTGCTGGGGTAAGCTAGGAATCGGCGAGTCTGGCATACAGCAACAAAAACAAAAGACAT